TTCTGTGACCATAATCAACAGGATTCTCTCAAGTGGGCCAAATGTGCAAAGAAGAGAAAGGAGCTATTTGCCTCTGTTGGGTCAGACATTACACGGTATTTTTGTCCTCTAGTACTAAAGTGGCAGCTAAGTTCTGGACACCAGAGACTAATAATTGCATTGGACAAACCACTGAGTTCTGGGTACCGCATTTTAATATGGAAACCTACTATGGCGCAAAGGAGAATATCTATGTGAAACATTAACAAATAAGAGTTTCAGAGAGCATTTGTATTTTATTATTTACAAGCTGTAGAGCTCCTAGAACAACTTCAATTAAATGATGGACAGAACCTCAGAGATCCAATTCCATCTAAGAATACACAGAGTTGGCATTCACTTTTTAACATTCTCCTTGATCTTTGTTTGGCCTTTCTCACCAAGGGACAACTTCATTTGTCTTTTTAGTTCAAGGTCTTTATGTATATGTGTGTGTGTGGTGTGTATACATATATATTTTTTTCCATTCAAGGTTTGGTTAATGGCTAATGGTTTTATTGGGCAATGGGATGAGGTCAGAATAGGTCAGAAAACAACCTAAGGGTCAGACAACAGCACAGCAGGAAGGTTTTGGACTCAGTGTAATGTAGTATTTTCTCATGTTATATCATTCATTATAATGGCGATATAATGTTTTTGGTATAGCAATTGCAAGGTTCTTTTGCATTTTAAATTTATTTCTAGTGGAGAGTGTTTTGTACTTCATCTTGTAGCATTAAAGTATGTTTGCAGATATAGTAGACCCTTGTCCGTATCTTATTTACCATTGTAATGCTGTGAGTGTTGGCAGCCAATGACTCACAGATGCCAACGCCCCCCCCCCTTTTTTTCCCTAGGGAGCTATCCTTGGCCAACCGGTATGCTCCTTGTCTGAAATGCCATACTCTCACTACTTCCTGGGGGTAGACATGGCCAATGACTGAGGGACAGAAGTGTCCAAAGGCCAGTCCTTTGTCTGAAGGTGGGACCACTCAGTGGAATCAGTCTGAAGTCGACTCTAGTTGAGACCACACCCTTGCTTAGCTGCTTCCCCTGCCTCTCCTGCTTCTTTGCCTCTCCTTCTCCTGAGGGTTCTCCCCACAACAAATCCCTTTCCTAAGACAGCCTCTCTCAGGCCCTGCTTCTAGGGATGCTTTCCTAAGACATTGCCATTACTATTTTCCCCTGTAGATCCCAGTTATGAAAGTGAATGATTCATTGTGCAGCAACTGAATAAAGAAACTTGAAATTTTAGGCAATGCAATCCATTTTTCTAAATAGCTGTTTAGAAAATATGACTCCATTTAATATGCTGTGTCTTCTAAGTGAACTTCATTAAAAACATTTAGTTAATTTAAAAATAGTTTGGAAGCAAGGTATCTGGCAATAAACAGAATGGAGTCCCTTAGAAATATCTCCTTATTTGATGAAGTAGACCCATGTATTGAGTTAGTTATATTAATAGTACATGTTGACTTGTTGAAGTCTTTGAAATTTCAATGAGATGCAGAAATTTCAATGAGATACAGATTCAATGCTCTCCTGAAATGAGTCATTGTAGGCAGTTAATTCAATGTAAGATAGAATGCTGCAGATGGAATACATTTAGGTGATACACAGTGTAGTTGGGTTCTCCCACCCCTGACTCTCATTGTCAAGACGTAAGAGTGAATCTGCTTGGTGAAGGAAGTATGTTCCTCTGGCCAAGTACAAGAGACAGCTCAGAATTCTTTTAGACTAACACTCAGTATTGAGTCCCAGGGACTCAAAGGCAGGGACATTCAGCATTGGAGCTGACAGGCACACCTAACTGCCTGTTCTTTCATGTCTTGATGAAAAGCTGCATTGTTCATCTTGGGCTTGCATAGGTGACCAAAGTTTCTGGGAAGGGAGAGCCTAAGAGGTGATCATAAAGGGTAGCAGTGTGTTGAAGGCAAGGTTAGGTTAGCTGGAGGGCATGCCACAGTGCCTACTTAACACAACAGGTCTGGGAGTCTGTTAAGTAGCAGTTTCAGGTGTCAAGTCCAAGGGCAAGGGCCTAGCTATCAATAAGAAGCTAAGGAAATTAGAAATGGATGGCCAGTGATTGAGGCTGGGGTCCTGGTCTACTTTTATTGATCAGGGATCTTATGGCAAAGGTGTGACCTTTCCACCTTCGAGGCACAGGTGTCAGGAAGGTACAAATATGAGTCCTTGTAAACTGAACTGTGAGTGTCCATTGAGGATGTCAGGTTCATTTATTTATTTATTTATTTATTTATTGGAGACAGAGTCTCACTCTGTCACCCAGGCTGGAGTGCAATGGCTCGCTCTTGGCTCACTGCAACCTCCGCCTCCCAGGTTCAAGCAATTCTCCTGCCTCAGCCTCCCAAGTAGCTGGGATTACAGGTGGGCGCTACCATGCCCGGCTAATTTTTGTATTTTTAAGTAGAGACAGGGTTTCACCATGTTGGTCAGGCTGGTCTAGAACCCCTGACTTCATGATCTGCCCACCTCAGCCTCCCAAAGTGCTGGGATTACAGGTGTGAGCCACTGTGCCCGGCTTCATTTTATTTTTAAAGAAGTATCCATCAGCAGGAAAGTGCACAAATGAGGTTTATTCTTCTTGGCTATCATTATACAACTTTTGGTTTCCAGTTGAAAGGGAAAAAAACCAACCCAGCCTTAATATCTTTTCTGAGATGTTATTCTAAGGCAATAAGAGCAGGTAATCTTTCCCTAAAATCTAGAATACGAGGATAACCTGGCTTGGGGGAAACAAATCTTTAGGTAATCTATGTGGAGACAGAAAGCTATGTCGGAAGGGTCGAGAAAGATAAAGAGGCAGATCAATTGTGCTCCATTATCAGATAATTAAAACACCCTGTGTATTGTTTTAGGCAATTAGAGCATGCACCAGCCCCTACTTCGTCTCCATTTCTCTTCCTCTTCTCACCTCCTTCCTTCTGTCTTTTCTCTCTCCCCCTTTCCCTTCTGCTCCATGTTCCTTTTCTAACCCCCTTGTTCTTTCCTAGAAGGAGCCTAATATTTGGTTTAGTTTGTTTCTATCCTTGAAAACAGCAGTGAGATTTGTTGATTCTTTTTTTCTTTCTTTATAAAGACAAAATGGCAGCTGCAATGCAATTTCTGACAAGAGAAAGGCACAGTGAAATTCTCTTTAGCGCAGGACATTTTTTTTTGGTGATATTCAAAATAGAGTCTTTCAAAATTGTTGTCGTACTTAAGGTGTACCTAGATTCCTCTTTAGGGTGATGACTATGACATTCCTCAGAGGCGAACTCATTTCCGTTACTCATTTTTAAAAACACATCCTCTGTCTTTTCACACTCATCACAATGAGATCTAAAATAGAGGCTCATCATCACCGATTTAAGGGTTGTTTATGAAAAACGCTGCCTCGAAAAGGCCCGGTGGAAATTTCTGTGGAAATTGACACATCAGACTCAGAAGCCATGCAGGCACAGAAACTAAGTTAGAGGCCGAAGTGTCTAAGTATTCTGATCATGAGACATGGGGAGACCCTCCAACTGCCCCTGCCCCTGCCCCAGCCACCGCAAGCTGACAGTCAGATGCTAGGCATTGCTTCCATATGGATATGTGAAATGGAAGGGTGGGAGCTCCAAGACTTAGCAGACTCTACCAGACAAAAAAAGATCAGTAATCCAGAGAGCATTCTAAATGGTAAAGGGACGTCAGACAAGGGCAGCTGCTGTGCCTGATGCCGGGACAGCCTTGCTCCCAGATGTAGACAGAGCAACATGTATAAACCTGGATTTTTAATTTTTTTTTTGGTACAACCCTGACTTGTTTGTTACATTTATTTCTATGAAATATGTGAATGACAATAAATTCATCTAGACTAAAGAAAAATAAAATAATAAATGGGAGATGACATACTAAGCCCATTCTCCACCCTTCCCTGTATCCAAGCCCTTTGCCAGGTGGCTGGCAGTCCTTGCTACTAGAGATGGCAGATGGGGGCTTTGGGGTTGCCCCTGCCTTGACCATGGGTTTGACCACATAATTTAATTCAGCTAAGGAAATGCCAGTAGAAGTCGTAGTATGCCACCTCCAGCCTACGGCCTTAAGGGGCTTTGCATGCCCGCAGTTGTCCTTGCCATGAGAAGAGCGTGATGTGGCCAGCACACTGGTTCAAGGAGGGGGCAGGAGATGAGTAGAGAGAAGATGGAATAACAAAGCTGAGTCTGGACCAGCCTAACCCCAACTGACCTGAAGATGCCTGAGTGAGAGTAAAACATGGCCATTTTTAAAGAACTTTTAAAATTTCCAGCACTTTAAAACTACTTTTGAGAGTGGCTTTTAGGCAACTTTCTGGTGGAAATCTTTGACTGATACAAGCACTGTTCCTGAATGTGGCCCATTTAAAAGAACATGAATCATAGTGACTAGAAAATGAGAACGTGAGTAGATAAAGGTTTTCTGAAAATGAGAACAGGCCTTGTGTGTATGATTGTAGGAACGGTTAATGTTGCCCCCATTTTGAATATCCTACCCGCTAACTGAGCCTTGGCAAAGGGTGGGGAGAACTGCAGAACCTGGACTTTCAGGCCATATTGGATGTCACTGATATATCCATGCACATAGGACAGACACTGCCTTTTTTTTTGGGAAGCAACAAGCATTCCAAGTCCCACTTGCTGTCCATAGGTAGTGACAGGCTGAGGCAGGTGTTCAAACACACAGACCTCTTGTCTCAATGCAAGAGCACGCTAAGGGGCTTTAGGGGATCAGCTAAAGTCTTGATTACAACTATATCACAGCCCAACTTCTCCCACTACCCAGTGCTGCTTCCCTTACCTTCTCACAAATATTGTTCCCCAAAGCGCTCCTGAACGACCTTCCTGTATGTAAGTCTCTGACCCCTAGCATCTGTGCTTAGGGACCTGGACCCATGGCACACCACTCTCACTCAGCTTTCTGGGTTGCTAGGATCTGGAGAAGGGGGTGGCAGAAGGCCTTACCCACTATCATGTGGTTGCAGACATCACAGAAAGTGGGCTTCTTGAAGATGTGTTCCTGGAAGGCATGAGCCTTGCCACCTGGATGCAGGCCAGCCCTGGCAGGTGTGGACGTCAGGCTTCCTGGAGCAGGGAGTGGACTGGAGCTGGGGCTGACCTCACCCACCATGTGGGCCTGCAGTTTCGCGTCTTCGCTGTTGGTTCGCTGAAAGAAGTTGTCAGCACTTTTGCTCCGTAAACTCTTGGTCTTGAAAGAAAGTGATCGTTTTAGTTTCTGGAGCTGCAATGCAATGACAGAACAGTCTCTTTTACGACCAATGAATCAAGCAGACCCAGGCTGTGGGGGTGAGGTCTGCTGTGTACACTTGCACAGTCCCCACTGACACCCTCAGCCTCTGAGGAGGCTCATAAATGTCCCTGTGTGGGTGGGGTGATGGCCTAGTAAAGAGGGAATTTCCCCTGCCCCTGCCACCAAGCCAGATGAGCAGAAAGAGGTTCCGTTTTGCCTTTGCTTCTGCCCCCTCCTCCTCCTCCCCTGCCTCCTTAAAGTCCTACCAGTGCACTGCCGAAATGTCCCACCACACTGGGTTTTGACATAATTTGCCTTTTGAGTTTGAATCATTGGAAATATTAAGTATACGCACTCATGGGCTCAAAGGCTAGATGTGTAAAGCTGGCCTTTCTCTCTCATGACCACTTAGCAGCCACTTGTCTCTGCACACAGCAAAGCAGAAGAGGCCATTGTCTGACTCAAAATTAATGTCGCTGAACTATCCGCAGAACACAAACCAGGAACTCTCAAGTCTGCTTGGGTCCGAAGCATTTGGATAAGTAACCTCTCTGTGTGTGTGTGTGTGTGTGATTAGGACATAGGACATATTGAATCATCCCTTTGACTTTCTCTGCTCCTCCTGCTGCCCTCCCTCTTGTTTTTGGCCACGATAAACTAGACCATTTCTCCTTTGCCTCTGGGACTTGTGAAAAGGCACCAAAACAGGTTTGGAAAAGCACAAGCTTCTGACAGGTCTGGGTTTGAGTTTAATCAGCCTCTCTAATCTAGTGTTCCTATAAAAGCTAGAGGAATCTTTTGGAAACACAGATATGAACACATGACCCTCATGGTTAAAATCCCTCAAGAAGTTTCCTTTGTTCTTAAAAAAAGTTGCCTGTCATGGGCTCCAGGAACTGGAAGAATCTGGACCCCAGTAACAGCCTGGACATGGTGCACCTTGCTCTGCCCATCCCCACAGTGGCCTTTTACACGTCTCTCCTGTTTACTCTGCTTTCCCATCACTAGTCCTTAGTACATAGTTTTTATTCACTCAGCAACAGATCGCTTCACTTTTAAGGTGGTTGAATATCCATGGTAGTTCTTTCTGTTGCCAGGAATAAACATGTACGGCCCAAAGCTGCAGAAAAAAGATGCTCAGACATCAAACTAAAACGCTCCTGCCAGCAAAGGAAGCTGGAAGAAGCTGTCAGCGCTTTTGCTCCATAAACTCTTGGTCTTGAAAGAAAGTGATCGTTTTAGTTTCTGGAGCTGCAGTGCCATGACAGACCAGTCTCTCTTGTGATCAGTAGATCATGCAGACCCATGCTGCGGGGGTGAGGTCTGCTGTGTACACGGCACATTCCCCCCTGACACAGGGTGAAGAGACAACCGACAGAATGGGGAAAAGTATTTGCACAATATTCATCAGACAGGGAATTAATATCTAGAACATAGAAGGAACTCAAGCATCTCAGTGACAAAAAAAATCTCCAAACAGTCCAATTTAAGAATGAGAAAATGATCTGAACACACATTTCTCAAAAGAAGACATACAAATGGCTGACAAACACATTTAAAAAGTTCAAAACCACTAATCATCAGGGAAATGCAAATCAAAACCACAGTCAAGCATTGTCTCACCCCAGTTACAATAGCTACTATGAAAAAGACAAAAATAACAAATGCAGAGAAAAAGGAACTCAGAGACACTGTTTGTGGGAATAGTAACTAGTACAACCACTATCAAGGACAGTATGGGGGTTCCTCAAAAAACTACAAATAGAATTACCCTATGATTCAGCAATCCCACAGCTGGGAATTTATCTAAAGGAAAGGGAATCAGACATCTGCACCCCCATGTTAATTGTAGCACTATTCACAATAGCCGAGATATGGAGTCAACCCAAGTGTCTAACAACACGATACATGGATAAAAGAAATATGGTATGTATACATGATGAAATACTACTCAGCCATAAAAAAGAATGAAACTCTGTCATTTGTGGCAACATGGACGGAGCTGGAGAATATTATGTTAAAAAAAATAAGCCAGGAAAAGAAAGTTAAATGCTGCATGTTCTCACCCATATGTGGAGGCTAAAGAAAGTTGATCTCATAGAAGTTAAAAGTAGAACAGAGGACAGTAGAGACTGGGAAGGGCAGGGGGAAGGGAGGATAGGGAGAGGTTTTTTAAAACAAAATGAAGCTAGATAGGAGGAATAAGTTCTAGTGCTCTAGAGCACTGTAGGATGTAGGATGACTGTGGTTATCAATAATATATTATATAGCTTCAAATAGCTAGAAGGAGGATACTTTGGAATGTTCCCGACTCAAAAAACTGATAAATGTTTGATGTAATGGATATGCTAATTACCCTGATATGATTACTATATGTTATATGTTTTGCAAAATCACTATGTACCCCATAAATATGTATAACTATTACATGTCAATTAAAAATAAAATTATAAAAGTAATTAAAAAATAGAAACAAAAGATGCTCAGTACTCTTTGTCTAATAAGGGTCTCCGTAAGTCTGGTTAGACTCCTTTTACACAATATATCAGACGAGTTTACAAGGCCTTGCCAAGCCCAACCACCTGTGCCTCAACCCCCTAAGGTCCACCTCAGAAGTCCAGGAAGGTATGGTGGCCATTAGTGTTTGGGGTAGCCTACTGAAAGGCTGAAGTTCTCTCCCCTTTCTCTTATCCGTGCACTTTGCAATGTGAATTTGCATCTCAATCTATCAAAAGTGGAGCCTAGTTTCTTACTCCTTGAATCTTGTTGGTTTCTGAAATTTGACCAATGAAAGGTAGCAGAAGCAATGTTAAGGGAGTTCCAAGCCCAGGTCTTAAGACGCCTTGTATGCTTCTGTCCTTCCCCAGGAAACCTGCCAAACTGCCCAGTGTAGCCTGAAGGATTATGAAAGACACACGGTCCAGTCAGTTCCTTGCCACTCTAGGATAGAGCCCAGAAGCAGAGCCACCCTGCTGCCCTGCAGGCATGAAGGCATCTAGATGCCACCAGAAGCAGTGTCCAGCTGAATCCTTTTCAAACTGTCAGCCCACACACTCTTCAACTAAAAAGATGACTGATGTTCCAAGTCATTAATTTGGGTATCTATTGTCTGTACACAGCAATAGATAACCAGTACAATGCTGTTCTCCCCACCCTCCTGCTTGTGGTGGGATTGTACTTCTTTGCCCACCTGAAGTCAGGTGTGGTTGTGTAAAGCCAGCTCTCCACTTCAGGGAGCCATACAAAACAGAGGCCCTGCAAGCCTTCTGAAAAGCCCCACTAGGGCCGCCAATAGGACATCATCAGCTAGAAAGACTAGCCAGAGAAACTGCAACACCCTGCAGTAACATCAGAAACAGTGGGCCAGCCAAGACTCTTGTCCCCTTCCCTCTGCCCTACAGCTCAAACTAGCAGAGGGCTCAGAGCTGCCAAAGAAGGAGGAGGGAGGTCTCCCTGAGTTACGGTGGACTTGCTTGTTGCTGAGGCATAAGCTAGTGTATCCTCATGGGTACAGGGCAGTGAGTTTTGCGTCCTTGGGAGCACAGCATTGATTTTGAAGAGGACAGTCTATCTCTGAAAAAGTTAAGTGAGAGGGGCTATGAGACATTCATTGGGATTGAGCCCCTTTGAGGTGAGGACCTGTTTGCAGCAAAGGAGCCGAACTCTTCACTTCAAGTCCTTCAGGCTATAAACTTGACTGGTGCTGGCGGAAGGGAGCTTACACAGGAGGTGAAGCTGAAGTTTTATTTTAGAAGGACATTTAATACCCTAGAGTGAACAGGAAGGTAAGGAACCTGCCAAGATTTTGTCATGGGATGTGCAGCCCAGGGAGAGGTTTATGAGAGAAAACCCCATCACACAGAAAAGTAAAAATCATTTTCTGCTTGTTCCCTGCTGAATTCAGATGACTCAATAAATTGACTACTCCTTATCTCAAAATCAGAACAGCATCCACCCTGTTGTGAGGGTCGCAGAGATATTAGTGGATGGAGGATGACGGGGGTGTGCAAAAGAGGGGAAGCAGGAAGCTGGGAATATGGAGCTGAGCTAAGTGCTTCACCGGATGACCCCTCCTGATCCTCCCAACCATTCAGTGAAGATGCGATTTTACTTCTGGAGAAATGGAAGCTGAGGGTGGTTAAGCAACTTGCCTAAGGTCACACAGCTTCTGTGAGTCAAGACCAGGGCTCAGACTGAATCTGCCCGACTCCCAACGTCACACAGCTTCTGTGAATCAAGACCAGGGCTCAGACTGAATCTGCCCGACTCCTAAGGTCACACAGCTTCTGTGAATCATGACCAGGGCTCAGACTGAATATACCTGACTCCTAAGGCCACACAGCTTCTGTGAATCATGACCAGGGCTCAGACTGAATCTGCCCGACTCCCAACGTCACACAGCTTCTGTGAATCAAGACCAGGGCCCAGACTGAATCTGCCCGACTCCTAAGGTCACACAGCTTCTGTGAATCAAGACCAGCGCTCAAACTGAATCTGTCTGATTCCTAAGGTCACACAGCTTCTGTGAATCAAGACCAGCGCTCAAACTGAATCTGCCCGACTCCCAACGTCACACAGCTTCTGTGAATCATGACCAGCGCTCAGACTGAATCTGCCCGACTCCTAAGGTCACACAGCTTCTGTGAATCATGACCAGCGCTCAGACTGAATCTGCCCGACTCCCAAGGTCACACAGCTTCTGTGAATCAAGACCAGGGCTCAGACTGAATCTGCCCGACTCCTAAGGTCACACAGCTTCTGTGAATCAAGACCAGGGGTCAGACTGAATGTGCCCGACTCCTAAGGTCACACAGCTTCTGTGAGTCAAGACCAGGGCTCAAACTGAATCCACCTTCCTCCAATCCCCACGTTCTTTCTACTGCTGGTGAGTCTTTAGGGGATGGATGGAGGAGTGTTATTCCCTCACCTCCAGGGAGATGACACTACTTCTGGCTGTCCATGAGGATGTGGAGCAGGAATGCCAATCTGCT